GACAAGGCTCCTCTCAAAATCTACCAAGCTCTTCCAAACAAAACATCCGACCTGCATCTGCAGCATTGAGTAAGCACACACACCACCACCACCACCATCATAGGAAGTTGGGGCTGGGTGAGACACTCTTCCACCCCCCCAAACCCCCCACCACCCTCGGGAGTTCGCTTAAACTATGCGTATCTTCAACCGCAAAAGCGCCAAAATCCCCAGCAATGGCGAAATCATGGATTCGGGATTCAACAGCAGTAGCTTGAAGTCGCCACCACCTACCCAGGCATCCCATAAGAATTCGCCTTTTGTTTCTCCTTCAGCGCTCGACGTCACTCTACCCGCTCCTCCCGACCCCACCCTGGATCCTGCAGCTTACCTTAGGAGCATATGGGCCGTCAGAGCTAGGTGTCAACTCATATATCAACGTGCGAAGAGAAATCAACTCGCTCATTTCGATGTCGATGGCAGCAAGTTTGGTGAGACTGCCAACTATTTGGTTTCGATCATCAAGGTGGGACAAAAATCTACCACCCTTCATTCCCCGACTGACAGACCCCACTATAGAGGGACTACGCCCCAGACTATTCCCAGATACCTTCCCATGGCCGATGGCAACACTTCGAAGCGGGTGGACGACCTCGAGTCGAACAACTTATAGCAACATGGCCCAAAACAGTCGACGCACAAGAGAAGACCCGCCGTCTCATCGACCTCTTCCTCGTTTCCGTCTTACTCGACGCAGGTGCCGGAACACTATGGTCATACAAATCAAAGGAGTCGGGCAAGGTCTACAAGCGGAGTGAAGGGTTAGCCATCGCCAGTCTGGAAATGTTCAAGGCCGGCTACTTCAGCAGCGACACGCAGGAACCGTGTCAGGTCGATAGCCTGGGTCTGAAGCGATTGAGCGTACAACAACTGGCAAAAGGTTTACAAGTGACTGAGTACAATCCAATAGCAGGACTGGAAGGTAGAGCTGGGCTGCTATCGAGACTCGGTGACGCTCTTAAGAATTCGGCGCTGTTTGGCGCCGAAGGAAGACCAGGGCATATGCTGGGTACACCATCTTTCTGATCATGATGATTAGACCACACTGACAGTCTAACATAGACTACCTCCTTTCTCATCCCACCACACAAGCCGCATCCGTCCCAGTCATCACCGTCCCCACCCTCTGGACAGTCCTCATCAACGGCCTCTCAAATGTCTGGCCCTCGTCACGAACACAAATCGATGGAGTCTCACTCGGTGATGCTTGGCCTTGCTCTTCCATGCCTCAATCGCCACCCGGCCTTCCATGGGAGACTATTGTTCCCTTCCACAAACTCACACAATGGCTGTGCTACTCCCTGATGGTTCCAATGAGAAGGGTAATGGGCATCCATTTCGCCGGTACGGAGCTTCTGACCGGGCTACCAGAATACAGGAACGGGGGTTTACTGGTCGACACGGGACTTCTGACGCTCAAGGAGAAAGATGCGAACAGAGGATTAGCTCAATACAGGGAAAATTCTATGGTGAAGGGACAGCCAAATATGGAGGTCGTACCGCTATTCGCGACACATGATGATGTAATTGTGGAATGGCGGGCTGTTACGGTCGGATTCCTGGACGACCTGCTGGTTGAGGTCAATGGAATCCTTGGGCTGTCCGGCTCGGACAAATTGAGTCTGGCGCAGATGCTGGAGGCTGGGAGTTGGAAGGTAAGCACGATACTTGAGATTACTTGGAACCTGATCTAATGTTGACTACAGGGTGGACGAGAATTGGCCGAGGTCTCAAGGCCAAATACCAAGGAACCTCCTATCATGATAATGTCCGACGGCACGGTATTCTGATGCACTAGATGTGCGCATACTCGTCGACAAACCTGTGGAAAGCTGATTTTATTTATTGCTGAGGTCAGATTTGTCAGAAGGCTGGCGTGCAGATGTCATAGGATGTTTCCGCATTCTGATGATTCATTGCTTAGGGACGTTGACGGGCAAGCAAGATGTAGGGTTTCTCATCGATGAGCCATTCAATTCTCATAATGATACTACTGGTAGTACTTAGATAATTTGATGCCTTTCTCCCAAAACGCGGTAGGTCATGTGAAAATGCAGGCATCTCCGAAGCCAAGTCTGGCCAACGTTTTTTCCGCCAAGGACCCTTCTCAGAATATCAGTCCATGTTCTGGCCTATGACGATACTCGACCAAATAACTAATGTACATCCGCTTGAAGAGTCCAGCGCATGGAACTGAATCCCAAACACGTTGGATAGGTTCTGGATCTTTCGCCTCTTGGAACCACTTGCGCGAAGCTTTTGCGGCTTTCGCAAGAGAGAATGCCTTTCTGTCCTTGGTTTCTCGAGTATTTCGTACTCAAATGCTAGTCATACATGCCACCCTTCTTCGATTTCTCTTTTTGTGGTTAACAACGCCCCAGTAACATGCCCAAGATGAACATCTCGTTCAAGATCTCGTTCCTGCTCATACTACGAGATCTGGCGTTCACCAAAACCCTCACGCTGCCGCCAGTGGCGATTGGAAATCACAGCACCTTTCCGACCCTCCCTGTTTAGTATACATGCAATCTTCCTATACAGCTAGAGAGAAGGCTAAGCCCAAACCCCAGTGTACCAATCCCTCCAGCTCCACCCGGGTACGGATTGGACACAATCTGGGATGAGTCCAAGCCAATCAGCCCGATCGGAGTATACACCGCTGTAATTAGCCTCATGTGGGAACTCAGCAACCAATCATGGACGGCCCAAATAGATCCAAAACGCCCGGGTCCGGTTGTCCGGGCGCTCGACAACAGAGTTTTCGCTGTCACTACCATTGACGGCCCGACGCTTCAAGTTGGCCACGTCGTTCTAGCTTACCACCAAACCGTTCTGGACATGTACAAACGACGGCCTGGATTCTTCACAGCCATTACTAGGATCATGCTGGACGGGCAGCGAATCGGGCGTGCTGGGTTGCTGCCTGAGCCTCCCCTCCTGGGGAATCCGAACAGCACAATGCCTGATTTGGTCAACACGGTCAACCCTCCTCTTGTCAGCAGCACGAAGAGCGTGGCAGAGAACTCGGGCGTCGTAATCGACCCTGAGGATCCCAGGTTCTCCGTCTCCTGGAGATTCGACGGCAGTTCTATCCCGGCCCAAGAACTGTATAGCTCGGTGATAGACGGAATAGCGACCGTGGCACAATATGAAACCAATGCTCGATGCGCGTCTGTCACTGGGGTCAGTTTCTCCGGCAACGTTGCATTCCATGTCGACGACTACCTTGGTGCAGCTTTGCATTGCGGTCAGATATCAAAGGCCTTTCTTTTCATCTCCGTTGTCGTCTTTGAAAATCGAAAATTTGAGGGGGTGGAGATTACGTTGGAGTATGACAATATAACGATCGGCACGGGAGACGTATTCAAGGTCCGATCTGTTGAGAGTCACAACAGCAACAGCACCGCAAGGATAGCGACGTCGTAACAAGCTCACGGATGATGATCAGGAAGACTAGAACGAGAATTGCTTATATGACTTTCTTTTCAAGACGTAGTGTCTCATTCTGATCCACATCTTCCTCCTCAGAATTGCCCCTGCACGGAGTAGCTATATAACCAACGGAAAGCAGAGCAGCGAAGCTGCCCGAAGGTCTCAAACCGGTGTACTGGCACTGCACAGCTCCCAGAAACCTCCTCTTTGTCTCTTTGTATAGATGCTTTGCAAGAAACCATCATGAAGATCTGCGTTTCTCGCGCTCAGTGTCGTCTCCGCTGTTCTAAGCAGGACAGATATTGCTCGTACCAACCCACCCTACCCTGATAACACGTTCGCGTGTCCCTACGATTGCACTTATGTTTCTCCGGCTGCTGTCTTTCATGCGATGGTATAATATGGGAAGATCCGTCCGAGAAGCTTCCCGTGATAGTACAAGCACCAAAAGGACTGGGTTGCTGGGACGGAGTAACAGGATAGTAGAGAGAGGGAAGCATTACATGTGAGAGAGCATTACATGTGAGAGAGTCCGCGGCAGGGAATCCAGCGCGTCCAATCGTGACCGGGCAGGTGACAACGAACCTTTTGAATCAGTCAGGCAGTACCATACGCTTCATCAGCGAGTGTAGCAAATGTCATGCATAGAGAGAACTCCAATTTCCACGAGAAGAAATCCGTTTTTCTTTTCTCATACACATGACATCAGAGGGTATCGACGAGAACAAATCGAATCTCTCTATCAAAGGATCGTATGTAAACAGAATCGAACGCATAAAACACAATTCCCTTGCACATAAAACGACACTTTCCAGAAAACCCCCGTACAAACTGTCACCTTCCCCCTCGGCACCGCGCCCGAACCCAAGGACTTTTCCAACCTCATCCAGGCCTTTCCGCCTGCCTTCACTCTCCAGGACTGTCTTTCCATATTCCAACAGCCAAAAACAATTTCCCGCTCTTCGGATCCGTCAAGTCGTTCACCCAAAAAAAGGAACACTAAGGTAGGTCAGAAATATGCAGCGGTATGGGGTGAGTGCTGCTTGATTTTGAAAAAAAGACGGCTGTCGAGATCCTGCTCTTGCATCCCGCTGCTTCATGCTAAGATCTCGGACCGGTTTTGTTGATGAGGAGACTGCATGTGTGTGTGTTTCAATTGCGGTCTAGATTCGAGTCTCTTGAGTCGTCTTGACAGTTAATGTCGTTGTCACCCCCACCATCCCTGCTTAGCTAGTTCACTTGCTAAAGTTCCGAGTGGGGGCCACGTTTCTGTCAGCTTGTTTCGCCAAGCCTCCCGCCATCGTTCCTAAATCCTTACAAGTGTTCTTCTACGTCTGTAACCAAGCTTCGTAACAGAAAAGTTTCTTGGATCAAGCAGCCTGTATAGACAAGACGATGCTAGTCATCTATCATACTCTATACCCTCGAAGAACACGTCTGCGTTTCCCCCCAGAAATCTCAACCTCTCCACACTCCAACAACCGAAGCCACCCCATACCTTTACTTGACAAGCGTGAAAAGCTGCCAGCATGAACAGCCTTAAGAAACCCCAGAAGAAAAAAGTCCTCCTGATGGGCAAGTCTGGCTCTGGCAAGTCCTCTATGCGCAGTATCATCTTCAGCAATTATGTCGCCAAAGATGTTCGCCGCCTGGGTGCAACGATAGATGTTGAGCACAGTACAGTCAAGTTCCTTGGGAGTCTTATACTCAACCTCTGGGACTGTGGAGGGTATGCATCCAAATCGCAATGCTACGTGCATCTTCCTGCTCTACATCTGGAGCGCTGAACGCTCGCTAATGCGCAAGAATGGAACAGACAAGACGCCTTCACGGAGACCTACCTAACATCGCAGAAATCTCAAACCTTCAGCGACGTGGGCGTCCTCATCTACGTCTTTGACGTCGAGTCTCGCTCTTTCGAAGGCCACAACCCTCGCGATCTCCTCACCTACACCGCCGTCATCTCCGCACTAGCCGAATACTCCCCCTCCGCGCACGTCTTCGCCCTAGTGCATAAAATCGACCTCGTGCAAAACATATTCCGAGATCAAGTGATCCAGGACCGTACCTTCGCCATCCAAGAATACAGCGGCGTTTTTAGGAAAGGCTTGAAGGTGTATGGCACGACCATATGGGATCAGAGCTTGTACAAGGCGTGGGGGGATATTGTGAAATCTTTGGTTCCCAATTTGCACATCATAGACGGGTATCTGCACGATCTAGCCAAGGAAACAAGCGCAGAGGAGATTATACTGTTCGAACGAGCAACGTTTCTGACAGTCACGAACGTGACAAGTGAGTTAGGCGAGCGTAACCCGTACAGTGATCGCCAGGAACGGTTGAGCAATGTCATCAAGACGTTTAAGCATTCGCTTTCGTAGGCCGCTCCTTCTATACTTCGCTTCGTTTGTTTGGGTTTCAGGCTGACGGAAAGCTGATAGGAAGTACACCCACTCGTCAACGGCATCCCATCCATTCGCTGAGATCGCCATCAAGGCACCGCGGTTCAACTTGATCCTGGCGCGATTGACGAATAACACCTATGTGCTTGTCATTCTGCCGCCTGGGGATTTAGAAATCGAGTTGTCGCGGTTCAACATCATGGCTGCTAAGGATCGGTTTGTCGAATTGGATATTATGGGATGGGCAGCAGGAGACACTGAAAGGCTTGAAGGGAAGTTAAATGGGCGCATTAAAGATGGGCGCTGAATCAATTTAAGTGGGAAGAACATTGAACGATGTATCGCTCCAGTAAGGAAAGGACGTCTGAGGAGTGGCATCTGTCAAAATGGCTCTAGCGGATCAAAGTTGAAGGAGCACATGCCAGGTTGCGAGATCTCCATTCTCTCTGCTGGCGAGACTTGCGGCAAATGTCCCTTGTATCTCATCCAGACTTTCGTCTTCGACACACCAACGACGACTCCCGGTCTTCCAAGATTCTTCTTCTCCAGACACCCATATCTCTATCGCACCACCAGCCATACAGCAAGGCTGCCTCACGGCGCCACCAATTACCCCATGGAATCAGTAGTCGAAACCTACGCCATCCTTCTCAAACGCTTGGCTCATGTCGTCTATGACCTCTTCACCACTCTGGGATGCATCATGCTGTACATTACCGTCCTGGCTGCCTTTTCGAACGTCTATCTGTCAGCCACATTCTACATCACTGTGACATCGCTCATCAGCATGACTCCACAGCACGAAGCGAACTCAGACAATCTGCGTGCAGCGGCGGAAGTGCAAAGTGGCCTCCCTGATGAAGCTAATGCTGTTACTGTGGATCAATCTCTGGCCGGTATTTCAAACGGATTTTCAGCGAGTACTACCGCCAGCAAAGTTGACAGCCATGTTCACGTCATCCCAACCGAGTTTCTGTCGGCAATTCCTCCATAACGCATGGATTGCGAGTTCTTCTACAACACGGCTGATTTGAACATCCCCCAAAAATCGGAGTCGCTCCTCGTGGGCAGGCTACAGATGGTGCGGCTTACCATGGATGAATAGTGTCTCGCAAGTGACTCAGGATATATATTGATGGTGCTTGCGAATCTCGAGCGTAGCGATGAGCGGTCGGCACAGGCATGGCAGTGGTTTTCCAATTGTTGTTGTTCAGGAGTGATGAGCAGCGCATGTTACGAGGAACGGTATCTGGAGTGCGAATACTGAGGATACACCCTTACGCAAGATCAATACAGTACCAAGCAGAGGTATACAGCATCATGGTCAACTTATTTTCACTCTCTTCTCCCCATTGGCTCATCATACAAATTTGGATGGGGGAGGGCAACAAGCGAAGATGCCAAACTTTGCAATAGGCTGTCATCTCGATCAAGAAAGCCCCATACGCAATGTCACCATGTATCTTATTTTTCGAGGAGAAATTCAGTTGATTGAATCAGAGTAAGGCCGTTTCCAAGAATCACACATGCAGCATCCGTCGCTCGACCACGCGAGCTGTGTACAACCTGCTTTTCTAAAGACAGAATACTCACCATATCGCTCACACCCCCTCTCCACCACGGAACAGCTCCTCCCTCACAATCCCGTCGCCTTAACCGAAAGCACAAACACAAACCTCCCAGCCGTGAAATCGCCCTTTCCCCTTTCACCTACACCCCACTCTCATCCTCCCAGAATCCAAAGTCACCCACCCACCCCTCAAACACCCGCCCCCCCGCCCTCAAACCACCCCCTCAACATCTCCACATCGCCCTCCCCCAACGCCGACTCCGCCGTCCCACACCGCGCGACGACCACACCCGTCAAACTCCCCTTCTCGGCGGCTTTCGCGCCCGGTCGGTCGCCGACGGCGTCGGCCATGCCGCGGGCGGAGAGGAGCGAATCTTTCCCTGCGGGAGGACGGACGGGTCGGCGGGTTAGTGGCGTGGATGGAGGGGAAGTGGAGGAGAAGGAAGGAAGGCAGGAAGGAAGGAAGGAAGGGAGGGTTAGGATGTCAAGGTTTGATAAAGATGGATGGATAGATGACGAGTTCGTGATATTCATACAGGTATACTTACGAGACGGATCCGCGGAGAAGTCCTTGAGAAACGCGAGTTCGGCGTCGTCGAGGATGGCGTTCGGGGTGTTGTGTTGGGACGTGACCGAAGAGGCGAAGGTGCGGGTCGCGAGCATGTGGGCGGCGCTGGGGCCGGAATAGGGTTCGGAAGACATGGTTGGTTGCTTGGTTGCTGTCGGTGCGTGGGGGGTTGAGTGACAGGGTTTCAAGGATCTTGTGGTGGGTTGTTCAGGAGCTGTGGATCTGTTTGGGAGTTGTCGTGTGTTGGAAGTTTTGCTGTAGGCAGCAGTCAATATTTTCGGTCCCGTTGGCGTGGTGACTAGGCTTTTATAGGCTTAATATCAGGCATCCTCTTACCTACCTCAATGAAAGGGTAGTCAGCAACAGCCATCGATTCCACCGTTGCCATTTTCACCAAGTGAATTTCGAACCTGAAAATCGGCTCTATTGGCCTATTTGGCGGGTTTGTATGGCTTCAATTTCGACGATTGGTGGAGGTTGCCCATGGTGGTGGAATCAATGGCTGTTGCTGATTACGTACAAACTTAGGTGGGGAGGGCAGGCTTCCAGATGGTGCTCGCTACCTGACCTATCAGCACCTGCATGATATAATACAGCGCCTCGAAGGAACGAGGCTGCAGCCTGAGGGCAGGCGGGGTAAATTTTTGTTAGGAAATTTCTCTTACTTGAGATTATATTCCGGAATGGTTTTCTTGGAAGGTGAGCTGCCATCGACGGCTCTTACTTCATGGATCGGATTGGAGACATTTTCATAGAAAGGCAACGGTGTCGATATCGCCAGCGTCGCATGCTCACTCTCGTCCTGGGTCCAGATTTCCTCACGGGGGTCTACATGAAAGAAACAAATGGGAAAAAGAATGGCCAGTTCGACGAGTGAACTCACGTTACCGAAAGCGCTCGAGATCGCTAAGCAGAACCAGCATGGCGACATCGATCCAGCCGTGACCGTGTTTCTTGGACAAAGCATTGATGCCATATGGCAACGTCTTCAAGCGCAACCCTCGACATATGTGTTCTCCACGGAGGGATTTGCCGTCTTCAGCTACTATTGTGGTGTCTCTGGCGACAATGAAATTGCGCAGCAGGCTCTCAGGAGGTTTTGGGAACGCTACGGAGCGAAGTCGACCGGCACTGAGGGAGAAGGTCGTCACAGCCTGACCGTAACTGCAGGGCCGACGGTGTCGCAAGTATCAGCCGTCGCCTGTCAGAGATGTGGTACAAGGAAAGTCAAATGTGACAAGAGTAAGCCGGCTTGCACACCGTGCGATCGGGCTGGGAGAAGGGCAGCATGCACCTATACTAAGCAAATGAAAGGCGAAAGTTTTGCGGAGCCAAGTAACGATGTGGATGAAAGCAAGGTATACCATGAGATAACCCCAAGGTCGACTTTACTTCGGTACTACAAAGGCCTGGTAGACGGAGTGAAAGTAAGAGAGGATCTGATCAAGACCCCACCCAAAACCAACCTCAGGATGCCCAAGGGGAGTTAGACAGAGCGACATCGAATTAGGGTTATAGTGGATAGCATAATCGAGAGGGAAGACAAGCCTACATCTCAGACTGGGAAAATGGATCAACAACACTTTGAACCCCCCAAAACCCTTCCTGTGGACTTGGGTCAATTTCGCATGCATGTGATGAATGGGAAGGAGCACAATCTTGTCAACTCGGCGAAACTGTGGTTGCAGCGTTTGACTGGAGAAACATGGAACTGGTGGCCTCTCCGTCCAAGTTTCCGACCGCTTCTAGAAGACGAAATCAGGCTACGGTGGCATTGCGTAAGTCATCATCCACGGTGCCTCAATCCAGGCATGCTAATTAACTTCGAAGGTTTTGGGGCACGAACATTGGACTGTGCTTCCTAATACTGGCCCTGCTCCATCACCGAAGGCTGTTAAGAGTAAACAGTCTGCCTCTTCATCGGGAAAGAACTCGGGTACAAGTACGAGCCGAAGCTCTGGATCAGAGTCATCTGTTGGGAGGTCATCCCCAGCCGTCTCCGACAATGGCACATCTGATCAACCAGATGACGAGGCGGATTCCGGGAAGGATATTCATACACCCGATACGAGTATCGAGGTTGATATTGTGCCGCCAAGTGATTTGACTGGCTTTGTACTTTTTGGAGTACACGGCTCAAAGCGTCTGCAAAGTGCGTGGCTCCGCCTCGCGCAAATCGATGTCGCCATCTACAAAGATGACGATAGCTTCTTTGATGAGATGAGTGTGCAATATATGAAGCTCCGTGGCTTCCTCCGGCGGGTCTTATCGATATGGGTGTTCTATACCTGTGATTTCATAATGGTATGATCGATTGGCAGTCCCTCCATAAACCCAAGGCACAAGGCTGAAAGAGCTTAGTTCCACAAAGCGAATCCGAATGAAATCATGCCAGGCCCTGAGGAGGTGCCATCGCCCGAAAATCGAGACTACGAGTATCACGCAAGTCGAAATCCTCCTGTATTGAGTACTGTTTTCAACGCAAACTTCTACGGCTGCAACAAAGCATGCATCAAGTCTCAGCTTGACCTACTCTGCATCTTTCATGAGTGCAAAGGCCGCAATCACTGCGGCAAGTATCGAGTCCTAGAACGCCTTCCGAAGCGTCGACGCAAATGGGATGTCGATCGAGACGAAGAAAAAGACGAAGCATGGGGACTGAATGCCGTATTCGCAGTGTCCTTCTACAAGGTGTTGTTGTATCATACGCTCATTTTGGCGGGACCAATAGTCTTTTGGGGGCTGTGGTTGAAGGAATGGCCGAGAGACTGGCAGAATGCGTCTGTACCGTTCTTCGCTGTAGTGGTGCTGTTGTCGTTGTTTTGGCTTCCATTTGCGCACAACGAAAGCCCAGCGGATAGGAAGAGGAGGTCGAAGAATAAGTCGATTTGAGTGAAATAGATTCAGCATGATTGGTCTCTTGGTATATTTGAACAGAGCCCACATCATAGAAACAAATTGCTATATTCAAACCGTCAACAATCACCTCTCAGTTTAAAGATAGTCGTTCTTGGAGGCAGTTTCAGAGGCAGGGGTAACTTCGAAAACTATGTCGAAAAGTAAAGGAGCAGGTCATTCCATGAGCTAATTCGGCCTTGAAGGTGAGGCAAGGCAGAGTGGAGGTCTGGGGGCTATGGTTGCTGCTGTTGTCAGGGGATCCTTTCTTGGTCCAGTACTCTCCGGCATCTCTTTGTGCGATTTGCGTACATAGAGCACCTCCATACCGCACTTTGTTAGACGAAACAGCTACGAATAAAGGGCTTATGACAGCCTCCCAAAGATTCCATGCGTCTTATCTGCTCTGTAGTAACCGCTTAGTGATAAAAGTGGTTTCGCCGTGAGCATGCCATCTGCTCCAAATCCTTGCGGGTGTTGTAATTTCGCATTTGTAGTGAATTTTTCAGATGCGACCTTCTGTCTCGCAAAGAAGCCACCAATTTATTGTCGACACCTCATTCACTGCTGCAATAATGACTTGGTGACAAGACATGTTGTACAGCGCCTTAAGAACACACCACCTGTAGCGCTGTCTTCTTAGGCAGTCCGGCGCGGATCTAACCACCAATTAAAAGTGTTCACTGTAACATGATCGGCACCTTTAAAATCCTTCCGTGCCAAGAAGATGGGCTTTCCGCTTGATATATCGCGCTAGAGATCTGTGGCGCGTCTTTGATGTGTTCGCGACGAGAACCACTTAAAGTATTCAACAACTTCTACAAAGTCATCACACTTCTTCAAAGGATTGATGATCACTCATCATGGAGACCCAGCTTGATAGTATTGATATTTCGCAGTTGAAAGCGTTTGCCCTCGATTTGAACCATGACCAGGTGAGCCAAGCCATGCATCAATGCCTGTCGCTGCGGCTATGCAAGAAAACTGACGCCGAATTCCCTACAGTCTGATCGCGACTCGCCCCGGGCGACCGCGGCGCCTCCAAGCAATCATCATCCTCAGGCAGACACATCATTGACTGCCCTCGGTCAAAACCTCACTCACAATTCACATCCTCACTACCCGACACACACTCAGCCATGCTCTGCACGTCGTATTTCTGGCCCCAGTACCCGTGGGCAGCGGCATTCTGCTTCCCAGCCTGAACTGCCAAGCACCATTCCCGAGTCCTTAAGGAGCAAGATGTTCGGAATAGACAGTCAGTCTGAAGGCGACACCCAGCCGGTCTCCCAGTCTGTCTACAAGGAATTTGCTAGCAAGCGCACGGAGCAGCTGGCGACAAGAGAGGGATCAGAGAACCACGGAAATAACACTTTGGAAGAAAGTGCCGCGTTGCATAGTCTACTTGAAGGCGAGGCTGGCCACATCGATCTTCTCGGTGCCTTCGAGGAGCCATCTCTCATCGATAACGAACACCCGGATGCAGATCATGAGGACGATGATATCGATCCTTTATCGCAAGCAGTAGACACTCGCGCAGATTTGTTTCCGGAATCCAAACGCTTTCAACAACCAAAGACGCCTGCTACAAATGGCAAGAAGCGTAAACGCGGGGTTGAGATGGAGTCCCAAGGGAGTGCTACTACTCCCAGTCTGCCAGTGAACCCTTTTGCAGGAGGTATTGGGAGTATGGATGGGTTGATGGGCCCAAGCCAATTGTTCAATGCTACACAGGCTCTGACCTCACCATTGACGAACATTATACCATCTGATGGTTTATCTGAGAGGCCTTCGCCAGACACGCACATAATACAGCGCTCAGCAACAGTAGGCTTACTTTCGTCACCGGCTGACCCTTCACGCTTCAATACAATCCGTGCAGTCACCGAGCCGCAAACTACATACGTGTCGATGAAAGAGTCACAAGAAGCGAGAGAGCGATACCTTCGATCCTTGAAGGCCGCCGAAATTCTATCGCCTGATGAGCTGTCCGACGATGATTTTGGATCTGCAGATACCCAGCTTCGAAGAAGGTCAAAACAGAGGCGTATAGATACAGAAGCCAAAAACCAATTTGCCGGCCTAACGGCGCGGGCTAGTCCACTGATAGGTGGTAACAGCCGAGTTCGAGCTGGACGAAATAAAGACACGCCCAGCAGGGTCGGTACGCGTCAAGCTGGAAGAGAAGCTAGCAAGCCTGTCGTTATTTCCGACGATGCGCCGATGGAAGATACGCTGGGGAATCTTACTGAAGATGAAACGGAACGTGAAGAAGAGGTTCAAACTGACGATTATGATGACGTGGATGAGCTGGCTGAAGAGAACAAGGAGAATGTTGAGGTACCAAGGACGATCTCGAGAGCTCATCACACGACATCACAAGTTGTTATCTCACAACCTAGCCCTTCTCATCAGAATGTACGGACAGCAAAAGGAGGATCTCAGACAAGCAGAGTGGTGCATGTGGAGAGTAGCTCTCAAGACACCAGATCTCAGGAGCTCGAAAAAGCTATCGAAGGCGCAACTCAGCCAGATGCCATTGCAGATTCGCAGACGTCTCAGGGCCGCGCTAAATCAGAGCAACTTTCTAAAACCAAGGATGCTAGAGCGTTTACCGGGCCTCAATCTTCCCTAGACTCACGGGTCCTCGTGCCGCAGTCTCAGTCGTCACGAGCATTGCAGGCTACGAATTCATGTGAAGGCAGAGTTGAAGGAAATAAGTGTTCCGGGGATCTACCAAGTAGTCCCATACTTCTCAAAGGTGTGCACGATAATGCAGATTTTAGCCGGGGGCTGCGGCACGCATCTGCAGAACCACTACGATTAGAAGGACCGAGCAGAGAATTACCAGGACCGGAACCTGCGTCCCGGACAACGCAGGAGCAACCTGCATCTTCAGCGCCGCAAAGCAGCCCAGCCAAGGGCTACCATCTCCCAATGACAAATTCAGTGCCAGCTAAGAGCACAATACCTGAAACGAGCCCCTCGTCAAAGCCAGTTCACATTCAAAACCAATCTGCAGGAGATATCTCAAATTCTATGCCTTCTCCAAGGACCACGCCCAAATCTGCATCAAAGGCAGCATCGAGCCACTCTATCGCTGAGCAGTCACGGCCTTCTACACTTTTCGAAACTGCACAAGAACACCTGGCTGGGTCGCCTTCCAAGTCACACTCCCAGCGAATACAGAAAGCTTCTCAGAGCAGACAGGTGTCCCCAATCAAGACAAGGCTCTCAAGGACCATCAGTGAGATCGCAGCCGATCCTACCCCCCCAGACGTAATTGGAGACGTTGACTTGGACATCAACATATTGACCAATGAGGATATTGAGTTTCAGAATGCCATTAGTGGCTCCGGGTCAATTGTACAGGCTAGTAGAAGGCGACGAGGCGGCCGAGAACTTGCCCTGCAAGTCGCACATCAGGAGCCAAACAAGCTACCTCCAGCCCCTCGCTCTCCGCTGCTACAGTCATTCAGCTCAGATCCACCCGGTTCCTCGGCAATCTCTCCCATCACCCCTTATCCAACGTCCGAAGCGGACAGGCCAAGCTCAGTCGTCTCCGTCATAATTAAGCAAGCTCCAACCAAGGGGGATCACACCTCAGAGCCAAAGAGTGCCCCGGTTGCGAAGCCAGCGGTGACTACACGGGCGACGTCCGTATCGAACAAAGCTCAACCGTCTGCTACTCCTCAACTTGTCACCAAGCCTCAGACTGTTGCGGCTAGAAATGCCAGCGTTCCTGAACGACTAGCCACTTCACATACAAATTTTTCGTCTACTGATCAAGGCCCAGCCAATATGCGCGCCGTGACAGCGCCGAACCGGGTATTTGCACATTTCAATGGCTCAAATCCTGCTTACTACCCTGCTACATGCTTGGAGACGATTGGCGGCGATGAGCCTCGCTATCGTGTCCGGTTCGAAGACGGCACCATAGATGTCATCGGTGGGTATGGCATCAAAAGACTGGAATTACTGCCCGGAGACGTTGTGAAGGTCGATCTCCCGGGGGCCCGTAAAATGAATTATGTTGTCGAAGGAGTACATAATCAGCATATTTCCGCTGTTACTAGAGGTCCAGCGACACCTTCCCGTCGTGGCCGTCTTGCTCCCACCAAGGATTCGGCTTTCCCTGAAACAGACGTTTACGGGAATGCCACGGTCTTGATGTCTCCCAAGCAGCGGCTATCAATAGATGGTGAACAAGCGGAGAGCTCGCCAATCGCTGTGCCCCTGACGCTAGTCTACCTTACTCAGACGATGTGGACTGCCATCAAGGACCGACAATATACGCACCTGTCAAACAAGCCGCATATCTCGACTGGGCTACAGACACCCTCCGAGCGACCCTCGACGCCTTCCACTCCGTCTTCTCGTACTCGCCGCGTCAAAGCTTCTAGTCTGGTCCAAGCTCGCTCAACGGCCATCGGCAACAATTCAAGCGACGGTATTTTCAGGAACATGGCCTTCGCCATTACCAACATTGATCGTGCCGATGAGCACGAGCGAATCAAGAATCATGTTACTTCCAACGGTGGTAATATTCTCAGCACTGGCCTGGACGAACTTTTTCACATACCCGCTCTTCCTCGTACGACCAGTCCAGCCGATCCCAATGCTGATACATCCTTTCATCTGACACCGGCCGCCAAAGACCTTGGCTTCACCTGCCTCATAGCAGACAAACACTGTCGCACCGCCAAATTCATCCAAGCTCTTTCTCTTGGAATTCCTTGCCTCTCTACTCGATGGATCACAAATTGTGTGGCCAAGCAGCGTATTCTACCTTGGGCTCCGTATCTGCTTCCATCAGGCGAATCGTCGTTCCTTGGCGGCGCCGTGCGCTCACGCGTGCTGCATCCATTTGATGCTGAGACAGCCACTCTGTCCGATATTGTGGAAAACAGACCTAGGATGCTGAATGACGCTTCTGTTCTTCTCATCATGGAAAAGAGCCATGAGAAGAGCATGCAGCAACATCCCCTGATCACTCA